GCCTTTTGGAATCTTCTGTTCAGCTCTTTAGTATCTTGAATTCTTCCCTGTGCTTTGGCTTCTCTACGTTCCAGTGCAATCTTCAGAGTTTCTTCTGACATCCATTTTGGTCTTTTCTTCCTCTTCTGTCTTTGTTTGCACTCCTCCTGGATGATACATTTGACATCCTCCCATAACTCATCTGGTCTTCATTCATTAGCATTCAAGGCCTCAAACCTGCTCCTGAGAAGATTCTGAAAATCAAGTGGGATGGAATCAAAGTCATATTTTGGCTCCTGTGGATTCGGTTTAATTTTCCTCGGCTTCAGCTTGAACTTGCATATGAGTAGTTGGTAGTCTGTTCCACAATCAGCTCCTGGACTAGTTTTCACAGCCGAAATTGAGCTTCTCCAGTGGTTTTTTCCGCAGATGTAATCGATCTTATTCTAATACATACCATCAGGTGAAATCCATGTGTATAACCTGAGTTTATGTTTCTGATAACACGTATCTCTGCACTACCAGCCTCTATCTCTCCAGTCAAGGGAGTTATTCCTCAGACGGGTCTGGTCTCTGGGAGACCTTCCAGTGGAGGGCTGAACTCAACAGACAGTAGTTACGGAAATAAAAAAGGAGGAGTTGTTGGTGTTGGAAATCATGAACGTATGTAGCATGACAAACATCTATACAACTCTAACCCAATGTCATTATTCTTGGGAGAAATTATAAAAGTATTGGTGTGAGAACAGTGAGATTAGTGACAACGGTCCACAAACTTTGTAAGATGTGTTTCTGGGGGGGAGAGTGGTAAACAGAAGAATAAGAAACCTTTGAGTTTCTGTGTGGCTTAAGGAAAACCCTTGTAATAATATAGCTTTTATGCTACAGTCTGTCTTGGAAAGCAAAACTTACTTAGGGGATATGAAATTATGGACAGAACACTTAAGAGGGTGGTTGATTGGATACAGGATACAGGAAGATAAAAAAGAGTGACACTAACAATTCCTTGGTTTCTGCTACCAGTAGGGACAACATATGCAAATGAAAAGACTGGAGGAACTGAGACAGCTGCAATCAAAGCGGAACCAAGTTCTACCAAGACACAGTCACGCCCTCTAATCTCAGACATTTTAGGGAAAGAACCAACCATGTGAAAATAGCTCTCCAATTTGTGGTCATAAAAAATGTGCTCCAAGGGGAGCACTGGTGGCCTAGTGGCAAGAAGCTGCACTGCAATTCCAGAGATATGCGGTTCGAATCCACCAGATGCTCTGCCGGGGAAGGAGGGGCAATCTCCTCCTGTACCAGTCAGATCCAATTTGACGGTACACACACACAGAGAGAAAATAATAAAATAAAAATTTCAAAAAAAACCACAACAAACATATGCCAGGAGGCAGATGGGCAGGATCAAGAAACTATTGTAACCAGAAGATAGGGCAGAGAGGAAAGAAAAGTTTGCAAAACATTGTAAGTCGCTCCCTCAGGAACCAGCAATAAAATGGAGTGTAAGAGTGACAAAGTTAGGGGCAGCATCGGGGTTACTGTGTGCTGAAGATTGGAGGAACATCTACGGGTTAATGTCAGACTCAACATTATCAATATCACAGACACCAAGTACATTGGAAATTACACCCACACAACAGATTATCCCAGAGGAGTGATTAGCTTCCTAGATAAATTAAAGGTGTGATTAGGGTCATTTATGTTTTGAAGGTAAAATATCTCTCTCCTCTGTTGCAAACTGGATGGAGAAAAAAAAAAGCAGGGACAAGGGAAAACAAATTCTGAAGAAGAGGGAAGGCTGTGGCAGAGGCCCTCTCACAGCTTGGCACTGGGAAAAGACCCCTCTGTTAGTTTCCCTATGGTTTTTATTTAGTTTAAGCCAATCATCCTAAATAAAGTTCAGTCTCTGGGGACTATATTTTCCTTACTCTTAAATGTTGCCAACGTAACAATTGGGTAAGCTTAATCGTTACACTAAGACCAAAGTTGAGACAGGGCATCCCCTCTGGTGGGAGGCTGGGAGGAATTCTCTGTTTGCTGAGGGCCTCCAGTATCTCCTGGTGCAGGGGTGAGGGACTGGGCAGAATTCTCTGTTTCTCAGTCCTGGCTGGACTCTTCTCTCAGCTGTGGCCTGGCTAACACTATGGCGGGCGAATCCACACCCTAGGTAACAAATGGAATACCCCGGGCAGGTGATGTTCTACACATGCAAGAGATGCTGGTGTGGCTTTATGGCCCTGATTTTACTGCTCCAGTGAATATGACCGAAGCCATGGCAGGAATGGTAATTACGAGTCCTCACCCACCATGGAAATATCAGGTAGCTTTGCTACTAGAAAACAAGACATTGATTAAAGAAAGTGTGTCAGTTCTATTAGACAGACATTCCTCCACGGGCTTTAAGGTTACAAGGAACATCACGGAGGTTGGCAGGCAAGCAGGAGGAGACTGTGGGGAAAGACTGACTCCACTACGGTGGAGGTTTTTAGATGGTTACTGCACAAAGAGATGAATAACAATTGACTGCAAAAGGGCACATTTTCAATACAACGATCGATTTACCACAATGGTGGAAAACAGATCCACCTTCAACAAACACTGAAAACTACACACACCAGGCAAGGGTGAAAATCTCTGCAAGTCCTGGACACTCCAAGATAGAAGGAAAAGCCTCCTACTGGACACGGTCAAGGAGAATAATAGCTTCCTATTTTTCTTAGTCACCTGTGCGATCGAGTGAGAGCTCTCAGGTGCCCCCTGAGGGCAGAGCAATAACTTAACACACTCTTTTCTTTTTTAGTTTTTTTATTATTTTTTGTCTGTGTACCGTCAAATCAGATCTGACTGGTACAGAAGGAGATTGTCCCTCCTTCTCCATCAGAGCATCTGGTGGATTCGAACCACATACCTCTAGGATTGTAGTGCAGCTTCTTGCCACTAGGCCACCAGAGCTCCCTATAACTTAACACACTCTTATATTGCTTATGCACAGCCCATTACCAGTGATGACTCCGCTCACAGGGCTATTTTTGCATTGTCTGTGTAACTCCTTAGTATTTTAACCAGCAGAGTTCCAAAAGACATTCCATTGGTTACCAATAAAGAAAAATAAAGGACATCTAATTACCAAAATACTTGAAATACACATTATAGTTTGTGATTTTGGAAAAACACTAAAGAAGGTGGTGCCAAATTAGTTCAGGAAGAAAACCAGAAATGAGGCAAAAAGGAAGAAGACATTGAAAGAGCCAGGGACTACGGCCTCTCAGCAGAAATATATCAGAGGGTCTAGAAAGGGAATTTGAGGGAAAATGTACTTCAAGAACTTAAATTTCAATAGTACTGATATTTAGCTGCTCAAGAAAGAGTGAACGTTTTAATAGTAATGCAAACTTTTTAACTGTAATGCGAGAATTCAACATTCATTAACTTACTCTCATCCAACACACAGTAACAGGGCTGTGGATGTTCTGAGGCTATGAGGTGCACTAGCAAAGGATGTTCATCATTCCTTGATTAAACAACTGTTGAATGTGTATGACCACACAAGAGCCTGCTCTGGACCTCAGCCTATAAACTATTCCTGCAGAACTTCCATCCCAGAGAAGGAACAAACAAACATTATGCAGACGAAACACCAACTAGGCTAGGTATGTGTAGAGGGTGAGGGCCAAGAACCAGAATACCTGTTCATTCCTTCCCCATATGTAAGGTTGTGAAAACAAAATGCATAAAACACTTCATTGGAGTAAAAGAAATAATACAACAAGGTTGTACAAAGATACAACAAGGTTTGAAAAGCACAGAAAAAATCCTGCTGGACCATCTCCAGATTCTGATCAAGAGATTCGGCCACTAAACAGAGAACCAAGGGCCCGGTATGAAATAACAGCTTGTGGGTCCAGGTCTAAGGGCACATTAGGAAAGTGACCCGTGGCATTACTGTTATGAAAAAATGTGCATAGGGACAGGCCAAGTATTTAGGGAGGAGGCAATTAGGGGGACTCCTAGATTACTCCAAGAGTCTCCTCTTTTACCCTTTCTCCTCAGCAGAAAACTGCTACAGAACACGATGGCTCCCTAGAGTTTCTATGCAATATCAGCAATTTAAGATTGAAAGATCATTCATCTAGGACTCACCATTTCTTTGTTCCCCTTTCTGCAGGGCTCAGGGAATGTCTTCACTAATCTCAAGATATAAGTTCAGGAAGAGTGTTCTGGCTGGGAGAAGGACACAGGTATTCTGGAGGCAGATGGATAATGTTTGGTCCACACACCCTTCCCAGTGGCTGAAATCCTTTCTTGGGGTTGAGAGAAATGCAGGATGGTCACTCTTGGTCCACTAGCTCTCCTTGTAGCAAACTTGGGGCCTGCAAGAGACAATGTCGAGAAAATAATGTCCAGTAAGCCAAGACGAAGGTAGATTTTTAGTTTCTTTCACGTGGCTTTGCCTTTAAGAAGATCTGAAGCTACTATGACAGTTCAGTCTTGGGAAGGAGGGGTGCTTATGAATTGGTAGGAAACTCTGAAAGGAAAATACAGGAAATATCCTCTTGGTTAATGTCCAGCCTTGGAAATGCAGGCACTCTGTTCCAATTCTAGACAATGAGTTTGTGAGCCTCTAAATTTTCAGGCTCAGAGAAATGCTCTGTAAGAAGGAATTTGTGGGGAGCTCTGCTGGCCTAGAGGCAAGAAGCTGCACTGTAATCCCAGAGGCACGCAGTTCGAATCCACCAGATGCTCTGCTGGAGAAGGAGGGGCAATCTTCTCTTGTGCCAGTTGGATTAGATTTGATGGTACACACACATACACAAAATGAAATAAATTTAAAAAAATAAAGAAATGAGGGCAATTGTAATTAAGATACCACCAGCTTGAGCCTCCAAGAGTTCTACTGTTTCACACACGTGGAGGAGCAGATACCTTCTACCAAAAAAAAATAGACAGATGGAGAAATTTACTCATCCCAGAGAAGACAAGAAAGCAGACATGACCAGGTAAGAAAACATGGACCTGCTTTACTGTCATTCTCTTTTTGAGCAATACGGATGTCAGGCTGAAATGTTCATCAAGACTGTGGAAGACATGTGATTCTGTGTAACACTGTAAAATTAAGAGGTGGGGTTTATATAAAGATGACAAACTCCACGTGTGATCTCTGATGCACTGAATGTTGGGGACTGAAGTACAATCTTTGCCTCTAAAGACTGGATCTTTTCAACAGGTCTTAAAATCTCCACACAAGAGTTAGAAAATGGTAAAATTTTAGGCTGGACATGCAATTGTTTCTACTAATGTAACAGAAAAACTTGGAAACTAGTTAACAAGTATATGGCTACACAATATGGTTGGAAAAAAGGGGTTAAAATTGGAAAAGATTTAGTTTGATTAGCACGCCTAAACAAAAAAAAAAAAAGAAAGAAAGAAAGAAATGAATGGTTAACAAGGGAGCCACGTGAAATGAAATTGTGTTAAAAATAGGAAAAATGGTAAAGAACAAAGGAAGTAAACTGAGAAAGGTGAGACATAGATAGGAAACTGGGTATTTCATAGGTTTCACATCCAACTAAGCCTTTATTAACAGATCAATAAAATAATTTTTATAAGGCAGTATGTAATCGATAAATGGCAAAGTGGTTGTATCATGTAAGTATTGAAAAAAGGAAAAACAGGCCTATTTAAACTAGACTAAAAATGGATACTCTTTCACCTAATAATGGAAGTCTTTTATCTTTTCTTGATTCGAATCACAATGCAGCATGGATGACTCTGGAATCTCCCAAACAATCTTGATTCATTTCATTTTGCTGTCCATTTCACACTCTTTGTAACACTCTGTATGAACACTTCACTGCTAATATGATCAGTCTGTGCGAGAAGTCTTTGATCACTAGGGAAGAGAGTGTTTGTTAAGAAAATTTGTACTTTGACCTCTAAGATGTTTTGCAGCTCAGTTCTCACAGTGGGTTTGTCATCTCCGTGGACGTCTCACATCCTAAATAAACAGTTTCAACAACTGGGACTGGCCACACTCTTACTCCACACAGTCTTCAAAAGTCTACAGTGAGATTCTTCACAGTAAAATTATATCCTCAATCTCTTACTTCTGAAAGTGGGTAAATATGGACCACAGCACACATATTACTTCCAACCGATGTCGTGTCAATTCTACATGTCATGTAAGTATTAAACAGACAAGAAAGGCAGATAGATTCCTCACTAAAATTTTCCTTTTTTATGACCAGCCTCCTTCCCAGGACCAGCGCGGTGACAACCCCCCCAGGTGGCGCCGGGTGTGAAGCCCTGAGCACAGTGTCCAGTCCTCCCCCCCCCCCCCGCGTACTGAGCACCAACCTGGTGCTCTGCTCACACTCTCCTCCCGACCCCTCAGGGACTGACCATCACCCTGGTCCTCCGTGCACACTCTCCTGCCGACCCCTCGGGGAGTGACCACCACCCTGATCCTCCGCTCACACTCACCTCCCAGGGACTGACCACCACCCTGGTCGTCCGCGCACATTCACCTCCCGGCCCCCGGGGGACTGACCACCACCCTGGTCCTCCGCGCACACTCACCTCCCGGCCCCCCGGGAACTGACCCCCACCCTGGTCCTCTGCGCACACTCACCTCCCGACCCCCGGGGACTGACCACCACCCTGGTCCTCTGCGCACACTCACCTCCCGGGGACTGACCACCACCCTGGTCCTCCGCGCACACTCACTTCCTGATTACCCGGGGACTGACCACCACCCTGGTCGTCCGCGCACATTCACCTCCCGGCCCCCCGGGAACTGACCCCCACCCTGGTCCTCTGCGCACACTCACCTCCTGTACCGGACTCGTCCAGGGCCGCTCCGGACACTCAGCAGCTGGGGCGACGGACGGGAAAGTGCTCGAAGCGGCGGCCCCGGCGGCTCCGGGAGCAGCCGCCTGAGACTAGAGAGAGGAACTAGCTGTCACCTGCTCGTCCTAAAGTGACCATGAGAAAAGAAACTCGCGTCTTAGCAACTGAGACACAAAACCGGCTGCAAAAGACCCGTAACACACCCCTACTTCCGGTATCTGAGCAAGTGTTACAGAAAAATACCTCCGGGCGGAAACAGAGACTGCCGTCCTCTTCTTTCCCAGGATTCCTATCTCAGCTGGGGCGGAGCTTAGTGATTGGACGTCCCAGGTCCAATAGGAGACCGTGGGAGAGTAGGAACGAGCGTGGGAGAGTGGGAGCGACCGTGGGAGCGTGGGATGGCGTGGGAAAGTGGGAGGGACTGTGTGACAGTGGGAGAGCGTGGGAAAGTGGCGGAGATGGTGGGAAATGGGAGAGACCGTGAGAGAGTGGAAGCAAGGCACTCGCACTCAGGACAGGACACTGCGTGTCACCTTCTATGGGTCACGTCAAATTAAAAAGGAGAAAAACTTCATGGGATTGAAGGTTGAGGTCAGAGGAGAGGCCACGAAGCCCATGGCACATCTGGGGGGATTAGGGGTGATGTGGAGAGGAATTCCTCTGGCTCACACCACCAGCCCTTTTCATCTTCAACCACTAAGAAGGGAAATTATTTTGTTTTTAAATTAGAATGGTCTTTTTTCCCCCTTCTTATAAATCGATCATATTAGATGATGGGAGGATAATGATGTATCTTTCATATTCCATTGCCCATACTTTGGGCATGCTGTGACTAGGGCCAGTCCTTGGAGAAGGACATCATACTTGCAAAGGCAGAAGGTCATTGCAACAGAAAAAGACACTAATACTAACTACATGGACTGGCATGATCCCTATGGTTGTGAAGTGAGATGCATCGGAGACGGGGATGTTGGCTTGGGATAAAGCAAACTTAAGTGTCGCTATGTATACAGTCACTATGAGTCATAGTCAATTCAATGGAACATAACAATTCAGTTCTTGATACTTGCTCCAAGTTATGTTCTGAAGAAGTGTCACTGAGTAGAATATAACTTACAGGAATTCTATTAACAATATATCCGGACCTGTTGTATCCTGTGCCACCCTGATCATCTCTATACCCAGAGTGACATATTTGAGCCCATTTCTGCAGTCACTGTATCAACCCATGTTGGTGAATGAAGATTTACCTCTCTTCCATTGACTCGCCACGATTTCCCCTCCAAGAATGGCCCTTTCTAGCAACAAAACCAAAGTATGTAAGATGAAGCTTTACTATCCTTGTTTGTAAAGTACACTCAGGCTGAACTGGGTGTCTCCACCACATATCTTTTGACAGTCTAGTTCAGTACTCTTCTCCAACACCACAGCTCAAAGACATCGATCTCAAACTCTTGCAGTATTGTTGATATTTAAATTTTACTTGAGACTTATGATTTGGTTATGGAAACCCTAATACGAAGTCATTTACATTCAGCAGTGGAAAAAACAAACAAACAAAAAAAAAACTACAGTAAGTCTATTATTTTCCAACTCTTTTACAGTTTCCACAGAACAGAAACAAAAATACTTCATTACACGATTAGGTAATAAATGCAATCCTCAAGGTGTTTTTGTTGTTGTTTCCCCCATATACAGGAATATTTCACTAAATCAAGTATTCTTTACTGTAGCAGCTAGCCATGTCACCCTGGTAAATTTTTAAATCTCCTGTATCGTGCAGCCTCCCTGTCGCTTCTCTGACTCTGCTATCATGCTGACCTCTGATTCGCAAGAGTCATAAAAACTTTCTGTGGTCAAAGTTGTCATTGCCTCCAAAACTATTTCCATGGCGAAAAACAAAATTTCCAGAACCACTTGAACCGGAAAAGGCTATCTCTTGCTTGGACAGGCTTTTTTTCCACACCTGTCACAGTGATTCACAGTGTGGTGGTTGTTGTTTGTTGTTGTTATGTGCCACTGAGTCATTTGCGACTCATAGTGACCCTATGTACAACAGCCCTAAACCATGCTCTGTCCTGCGCCAATCGCACTGTCTCTGACACTCCCATCCCCATTACCCCTGTCACATCATAGAGGGCCTTCCCCTCCTGTGCTGTCCCTCCACCCTAGCAAGCACGATGTCCCTCTCCCAGGACTGGTCTCTTTTTACAACATGTCCAAAGTATGTTAGATGGGGCCTCAGAATCCTTGCCTCCAAGGAGCCGCCCAGTTTAATCCTTTCCAGGATAGATCTGTTTGTTTTCCTAGCAGTCCATGGTATTCTCAATACTCTTCTCCAGCACCACAGCTCAGAGGAATCATCTGAGTTGGACATATTGTGGTACTATAGAAAAATGATAACATCTACACAGTCCTGGTCAGAAAACATTACAAAAGCAAAGCCTCTCTTTTTGCCACTTCCTTGATCAGTCATCAATTCAGTCACTTCAGTTTTCCTTTATCATGTAATAAAATCATGTGATATTCTGGCAACATTTAACAGAACAGCAAACAACAAAAGCTGGCGAGGTTGTAGAGAAACTGGAACCCTTATTCACTGTTGGTAGGAGTGTAAAATGGTGCAACCACTGTGGAAGGCAGGAAGGGCTCTTTCTCAAAAAGTTGGAAATAGAGATACCATTTGACCCAGCAATTCCACTACTGGGAATACAGCCCAAAGAGACCATAACTGACACCCAAGCAGATTTATGGACACCCATGCTTATCACGGCTTTGTACACAATAGCAAGGAGTTGGAAACAACCCAAGTGCCCATCAACAAACAAATGAATAGAGAAGCTGTGGTATAGTCACACAATGGAATACTACGCTGCACTGAAAAAAAGGAACTCATGCAATATTATTCAAAACGGTTGCCCCTGGAGGACATTATGCTGAGTGAAGTAGCTCAGACACAAAAGGACAAATACTGCATGGTGCCACTGTTGTCAAATGGGACTGACATCAGGGTTGGGGAGAGACTGAGAAAGATGGGTTCAATAATGCATACTGCACTGAAACAGATGAGGGAGAAAACTGTTTAAAAGGGATGTATAATTAGGTATCATTGTCATGACAGGAGTCCAGAACGAAGGCTGCATAGTGGAGTGGACCTGGGGAGAGGGACTGTAAAACAGTGAAAGAATTTTCTTTTAGTTATCAAAGAGAAGGGTATACTGGGGGAAGGGAGAAAAGTGCAGCAATGAATGAATAAATGGAAGACCAAAGTCTGCAAATGCACATTAAAATTAATAATAAAATAAAGATTTTAGTTGTTGATTTTTTTAAAAAATGTAAGGTTTCACTCTGAAGATGCTTTCCCACATGCCTGACATTGATGAGAATGTGTTTAAACAATTTCTCACGTTTTTTATATGCTTAGCCACTGTGAACACCACGAATTCTCAACAAACTCATGTCTGGAGGATGCAATGCCCTGCGATTCAGATTCCGGATGGAAGTTTGATCTAGATGACGTCTTCCAATATCTTCACAGAAGTGCAATAGTGTGTGACATCTGAGAAAAAAAATAAGTAAAAGGAAATTGAATATATTCTATCTGACCGAACACAAGGAAGGTACATGGTTTCTACACGACAGAATCTCAAATTTCATATCTACGAGAAATACTGTTATCACACCTGGTTTAAGAAATCACGATTCTTTCAGACAGCTATGGCCAACATATATGCTGTCTACTTTAGTTAGGATCTGCAGGCCAAAAGGATGCTATTACGTGGAAAATATATACTGCTCTCCTTTTCCACTTCTTAAACATTGTGGGAAAACTCATAAAGGTGTTATAAGATAAGAAGCATCATATGGTGTACTGTAAAACTTGAAATTGGAGGATGTGCTCTGATGAAACGGTTTTCTTACAATAGAATGACACTCACTTTGCCCAATCTCCTGTTCTTCAAGGCCACACAATTGTGAGATTTCTAATAACACTGACAGCCAAGGATGTCTGCTCTCTACTAACTGAAGAAGTGTCTGTTCAGTGGGTAACTCTTCTCTATGTTGACTGTTTTCAATACCTGACACAAAAACTGGGATACATTTCATAATAAGAACTAGAAAGAAACAGGACTATTTAGAGAGAAATTGTTTTGTAAGCAAAAAGGATGAAACCCTATTTTCATGTTTAAGCAACAGATTAAGAACTTTTCTCTAGGTCCTACTTGGAGAACAATGGACAAAGGTGATGAGACAATGAGTTTCTTCAGAGAAGCTGAGCAGAAAGGTAATTGACAGTTGTTGTTTCATGCTGTCAAGTCTTAGACAACTCATAGCGACCCTATGAATGAACGGCTTGAGCACTGTTCGCACATAGAGTTTCCGGAGGCAAGCCATTTCGGAAGTGGATGCTGCTCCTGCTTCCAGGATTGATTTAGTCGGGAAGTTCCAGCCAACACTGTCCACAATGGGTATCCATTACCACGATTGGTAATGGATACTATCAGTCCTCAGCATCACAGCAACCACGAGTTACCTCTGTACAGCAGTATATGTACATAATATAAAATATAGAAAACTGGTCTTCACGAGAGGAGTACGGAAGCACAAATACTTCTTGGGGGCTGCTAGTTCAGCCTAGCTGAAGCCATTTTGTA